AGAGCTCTGGTAGTGTGGCCATAGGGAGGTGTACTGCTAGCCCAAGTCAGCTGCACTCCTCTGACCGTCCCTCCCACCAGCAGCTCCTCCTGGACGATTTATAGCCTCCAGAAAGCCACTATGAGTCATTCCCAACTTGATGGCAATGAGCCTAGATCTTAGAACGCAGAAAGGCACATTTTTAGATCTGGGCGCTGGGCAGCATGAGGTGGAGGGAATGTTTCTCGTGGATGATGTCTGACCTAGGCTCTGTACAAATCAAAATACATATGCTAGTTTTCTAAGTTTCAAGATAACCCCGCGAGTTAGATGCTGCTGTAGTTTTATAAATGAGTTAACTAGTTCAGAGGGGTTAACCATCCTGCTCCAGTTCTTGCCACTGATGGGTGGTGAAGTGGCTTTCAAGGCAACGCTGATTGTGCTTCCTGCTGCGAGAGCAGGGACGGTGTGGGTCTGTACAGAACAGGATCGTCTGCTACAATCGTTGGAGTGGGTGGAGTTGGAGGTGAGAAGGCTGTTAGGTGAAGTAAGACAGTATTGAAGGGAGCGAGGAAAAGACACCATCATGATGGTAGATTGGGGACATAATAGGGAGTTTGAATTGTATTTTAACCACCTTTTTCTTAGAAACATTATTATGTGAAATGAACAAATTATTTTTTGGAATGCCTTTTTTTATGACTTTTATGTGAGGAGGGGTGAAGCACAGTGGATCACATTTCTATGAGCCATGGTCTTCCAACATCCACCAAGCGTCAGGTGTCTGGGGGTGGTTCTCAGGTGCCGTCAAGCCCACTGTGACTCCTGGCAGCCCTGTGAAGAGTGGATCTGAACCCTGCCCTGTGCTCGCTGACATTCTTGAGCCTGTTGTTACAGTCACTGTGTTGATCCACCTCCCTGAGGGTTTTCCTCCCTGTTACTGACCATCTATCCAAGCATGATGTCTTTTCCAAGGACTGACTCCTCTTATCAGAATGCCCAAAGTATGTGAGACGAAACTTTGCCATGCTTGCCTCCGAGGAGCACCTCACTGCACTTTCTTCAAGACGTATTTGTCGTTAAACTGACATCATTGCTCTCTAACACCTTAGTCAGATCCTTGACAGAAGATTTGCCCAATGCAGTACTTCTTTCCCCCTCCCCTTTTTTTCTTTTTTTTGCAATTCTTCTTTTGGGTTGTTACTGTTAGGTGCTGTCGAGTCGTGTATGACTCATTACAACCCTGTGAATAATCAATCTGAACCCTGTCCTGTCGTTGTGGGCCATACTCGGGCTCATTGCTGCAGTCACTGTGTCAGTCTCTTTTGTTGAGGTTCTTCCAAGCTTGCTGTCCCTCTCAAAGGAATAGGCCTCTCCCGGCAACATGTCTGAAGTAAGAGATGGAGCTTCGTCTTGTTTGCCTGCATGGAGCACTCTGGCTGCACTCTTCCCGAGACATGTCTGTTTGGTTTTTCAGTCTGCAGGATGCCTTGTGGCCCATCATGAGGATGGGGCAGCTTGCGGATAATGCAAATAATGGAGCCTTGTGGTAGTGAGAACATCTAAATCAGATAGAAGGAAGCCTAATGAGGGCATTGGTCAGTTTTGCCATCCCAGAGGCAGAAAAGGGGAACCCCTGCCATTAAGTAGAAGACCTGGCCATTGAGCCTGTCATGTGGGCATAGAATCCCTTTGCCAAGAATCTCCCAGACCCATCAAACAGAGTTGTATCATGGGAGATGGCAGGAGACCAGCGGGAGATAGTGTGCGTGCCTCCTAGCCCCAGAGCAGAACTGCTCCTGGAAGTGCTGACCGCTGAGCCCCTCAGGCTTGCTCACAGAGTGGGATGCCTCTGGGGACCTGTCGCCAGAGTTTGGCTTGCTGCCCCTGGATTAGGCGTGGAAGAGCTGAGTGCCTACCTGCAGGCCAAGGCTTACTGGTAGAGTGGAGTGTCCCCAGGCACTACTGGCCTTGTTGGAGAGCTCTGACCTGAGCAGGAAAGAGGCCAGCCTGAGGTCCCAAGATGCCTGAGAAGCTGAGGCCAGGGGAAGGCCTGCCCGGGACACAGCTGAGAAGAGACTGTAGTGTGGAACACCTATATCCTGAGTCCTTTCTAACCTGAACTGTAGCCTCTTCCTGCTCTGATAAACCCCAGGACTGTGAGGATAGTATGGTCTGTGAGTTCTCTGTAGCTATTACAGGGAATTATCAAACCCAGACAAAGAGTAAAGAGTGCCAAGTGTGGGACGGTGGTGTCTGAGCTGGTGCATTGAGAAGAGACATGTCTGCCCTCCACCTCCGAGGGCTCGTCATAGGCAGGTGATGCTGGTTGTCCCTCCCCTTGTCAACTAGAGAGGTCAGATGTCCCACCACATTTTAAGGTTTACAAAGAGAAATTAATTATGTGAGGGATCCTTTCCATAATCCAGATGAATGTGTAGAGAGTGTAGGGTCAGAAGAAGGCCCAGTGTTGAAGACATAGAAAGAGAGATAGTGGAATTTGAAATCAGCACATGAAGAATTGCACCACTGGGAAATAAAGTAAGAATAGCAGCTTTTCCCTCCGAGTGAGTGGGTACAGATAGCCGAATTCAGCATGTTCCCATTGACAGCCAGTAACAAGAGGTGCCTTCGCCAAAGTGGTGATTAATTTCTCACCTCCCTAGGTATACGCTGGTGGTTGAGAAGGGGGTGGCATGTTCCAAAGGAAGGGAGCTTTTCTCACTGTAGTGTACTCAAGGATAGAAGCTGCATCCACAGCCTGAGCACTGGGCCTGTTTCCTCAGGTGCCCTGTCCTTGACCACCCCCATTTCAGGGCCAGCTGGGCAGGGCCAGGTAAAATGATACTCTTATACTGACAGTCGCCAGTGGTCACAGGCTGGAGAGTCCTGGCTTGTCCGGGGCAGCAAGACAATTAGAGCATCTAGGTCAAATTAAATCACTAGTTGTCTTGGGCCAATTGAATGTGAGAGAGACAAGATGTGATACTCTAGAGGTTGACAAGCCCCAAGTCTGTGGGTCAGAGGGCAGACTGGAGGCCTCTCCTGACTCACATCCCTGCAGGACGGATGCTGAGAAACCCAAGTTGGGGGGGGGGGCGAGTGGGAGAGGAAGAGGAAGAGAGGGAGGAGAGACACTGTCGACTGACTGGCTCCCAGAGATTTTGTCATGTAGGTGATCACATTATTGTTTGCTGCCATCGGATCAGCTCTGATGCACAGCCATCCCGAGTGTAACAGAATGAAACTCGGCCAGATTCTGCACCATCCTCACAAGTCTCTCTTCTGCACATGTGCACTGTTACAGTCACTGTCTCTCATCCCGTTGAGGGACATCCTCTTTTTAGATGACCCTCCACTTTTACTAAGGTGGATATATTTTTCCAGAGAGTAGAGGCTCCTGGTAACATGCCCAGAGTTTGTAATATGCAAGCCTCACCATCCTGCTTCTCAGGAGCATTCTGGCTGGACGTCTTCTTAGACAGAAGTGTTTGCTTTTCTGGAGGTCCACGGGGTAGTCAGTGTTCTTCACTAGAACCATATCTCAAAGGCTTCGAGTCTCTGGTCTTCCTTACCATTATTCAACTTTCACATGCATCTGAAGCAACCGAAACCCCCCATGACTTGAGCCAGCAGAAACCCTTTGTTGTTAAAGCCGCATCCTTGTTTTCAGAGAGCCCCTTGGCAGCAGATTTACCCAGGGCGCGAGGTCATCATTTGATTTTTGACTGATGCTCCATGGGTGTTGATTTTGGAACTTAGTAAAATTAAATCTCTGGAAGCATCTGTCAAAATGTTTATTTGTACAGTTGTGAGGAATTTTTTTGTTTGTTTCTTTGTTTTTTATGTTGAAAAAGAACTATTTCAGAACTACCAAGCTACACAAAGTCTAGCAAGTTGATACTTTACCCATCACACATCAGTCTATCACAGTTAATAACAAAGGGTAGTTGTGAGCATTAAATGAATTAACTTACTTAGGACATCACTTGGCCTGGTCATAGTGCTGTATTAGAATTGACTTTATACAGTGATTTCTAGGGATTGTACCTCCCTCTGTAGGGAGCTCTGGTGACATACTCTGTAGGGCATTACACTGCTAACAGAAAGGTCCGTAGTGCCTCTAATGGTCAAGTCCACTAGGAGTTCCAAGGGAGAAAGATAGGGTGGCAGTCTCCTGCCATGTGGTTTACAGCCTCCAAAGCCTGTGGAGGATCATGTCTGAGCCCATTCTGATCAACAGCAACGTGAGCTTTTTATAATGAGTATTAAATTTCCGAAATCATGGTTTTTATATTCAAACACTTGTGTCAGGTAGCTTCATCTGTTTGAAGGGGCAATAATAATCAAAGAATGCCTCATTATATAATGTTCCCTGTTAGGATGGCCCTAGATCATAATCCAGGGGGCCTACTGGTAAGGAGCTGCACTGCCAATCCCAAAGGCACACAGTTTGAATCTACCAGCTACAGGAGAAATACGGACAGTCAGCGTCTGTGCGATTGACTGCCTCTCAAAACCCTCTCGCGTGAGCTCTAAGTAGGTTTCACCTCAACAGCACACAACAAGAAGATCCTAATCCAGATAACTTTTCCCAGGGACTCAGACTAGAACACTTGGAGGTCAGACGATAGAATGGAAGACCTGAGGTAAATACAAAATCTCAGGCCTGGGTAAATAAATATGGTACCAGTTACACAAAAGCTGGCTTCACACAGAGGGGCTTTGAGAGGAAGAGTTTTGAAAGAGTGGGCAGAAGTCAGGTTTTTTAATAGCAGCATTTAAAAACGTTAACAGCTTTATTGAGCCGCAGTTTACATAACCATAAAATTCACTCATCTTTGGTGACTAATAGGATGATTTTTTTTAACTGTGCAGAGCTGTGCAGTGCATGGCTCTATCCACTTTGAGAACATCTTTGTCATCCCAAGCTCACTGGGCCCTACTCAGTCATCTCGATCCCTGTTCAGAGTCCTTTGGGTTTTTGTAAATAATTCTTGAAAGACACTTTTCCTTTGCAGGACGGCATAGTGAACCCAACAGTAAGAAAAGATCTGAAAACTCTACCGAAGTTCTACTGCTGTCCAATTGAAGGATGCCCTCGGGGCCCTGACAGACCCTTTTCTCAGTTTTCTCTTGTAAAACAGGTATTGAACTTTTCTTAAGTCTCCTTCTCTGAGGATGAGATGCAGATGGTATAAGCTGAGTGTGGGTTCTTGGGACTTAACCAAACGTATCAGTCGGAGAGTTGAGCAGAACGCTTGCGTGTGACAGCAGAGGCCCAGAACCCCCCTGGGGAATGGAGAGAGAAGGTCTGGATGGGTGACAGTGGATGGACATGAGGTGTGATCCGGAGGGAAGTGTCCGGAAGGGCGTCCTGAAAGGAGGGGACATCATTCAGTTTGACAAGTACATATGTGTGTGCTGGAGTCTCTGTGTGAATGTGTCTGCCTAGACACTGGAGGGGGTCCCCCACTGGGTGGCAGGGTGTCCCTGCAGGAGGACGCCTCCCTGTGGATAAGGAGGCTCCAGGGTGGGGGTAGGGTGAAGGAAATGGGAGGGATCTTTTGTGAAAAACAATGTATTCAAACTTTGTAAATAAATCAGTATAAAATTGAAAAAAAGAAAAGGAGGGTCCAGGATGATTCTATACCGGAAGAGGTTGTCCTGGAGGGCCCTCGGAAAAGCGGCACTGAGCTGCTTTCCTGGCCGTGGCCCTGGAGTGTAGCCCTGCCTACGTGCTGGACACTGAGATTATTTCCTAAACCCTTGTTACGTGAGCCAAGAAGAAGTGACGCCATGAAGTGCTCCAGGCCATCCGCCTTTAGTTCTCTTGCTGTGGAGTGCCAGGACTTCCAGTGAAAGGTCTTGCTGGTATGGTGTGTGGATGGTCGTGAGGTGCCTGAGTGCCTGCTGGTGGTCATTGCCTCCCTTTGGGTCCTAGCACTTTATGAAGATGCACGCCGAGAAGAAGCACAAGTGCAGCAAGTGCAGCAACTCCTATGGCACAGAGTGGGACTTGAAGAGGCACGCGGAGGACTGCGGCAAGACCTTCCGGTGCACGTGCGGCTGCCCCTACGCCAGCAGGACGGCGCTGCAGTCCCACATCTACCGCACCGGCCACGAGATTCCCGCCGAGCACAGGTGGGACAGGGCATGCCCAGCCACCGGGCCACAGGGCTGGCAGGGACAAGGGCGCACACTGCCGTCGGGCTGGCGGGGACAGGGGCGCACACTGCCATCGGGCCACAGGGCTGGCGGGGACAGGGGCGCACACAGCCACCATGCTGGCAGGGACAGGGGCTCACAATGCCTCAGGTTGACCACTGGGCTAGTGAGGACAGGGGCACACATGGCCATCAGACTGGCGGGGTTAGGGGCACACACAGCGACCAAGCTGGTGGAGACGGGCGTCCAGGGCCATCAGGCTGCTGGGGACAGGGGAGTGCACATCATTGGGCTGATGGGGACAGGGATGCACATGGCCACAGGGCTGGAGGGGGCTGGGATGTACACAGCCATGGGGCTGGTGGGGAGAGGGCCGCATGGGCAGCAGTTTTAGCAGAGGACCCACTTCTGGGCCATCAGGCTGGTGGGGACAGGAACATGGCCTGGTCACCAGAAGCGTCTGGAATGACAAAAGTTCTAGCTGGGGACACACCTCTGGGCCCTGGGGCTGACACGGCTCTCGTCCTCATTCTTTATGCCAACCCCTTTCAAGGATCTTTTGTCATTTCCCTTACACAGTCTTAGCCTCCAGCATTTTCTGTTAATGTCAAATTGTTAAAGAGGAAGTTTTATTATGAAAATGTGCCCCATTTGAAAGGTCACATTTCTGTTTGGTGTGATATCCTCTTATTGTAGAAATGATGGAAGGTCTATTATATAATGAGTTGGCGGCCTTATGCTTACAGATCTGAGTCGAGTTCCAATACTTCGAGTTAAAGAAGAAATTGCACATCTTGTCCTCTGTTTGCATATTTACTGTCCTTTTGACTCATTGTTTTCAGGGATCCACCAAGTAAGAAAAGGAAAATGGAGAGCATGCACAGCCAGAAGCTGTCCAGCAAGAACCTGGACTCCCTGGTCAGTAAGCAGGCCCCTGGACCAGACGCTCAGGAGCTAGAAACTTCTGAAATGAAGCTTGTAGCCTCTTTTGAAGACACTTGCAGTGCTAACATCAGGAAACAGTCTCTGACAGCGCCTCCAAGGTACCCCCAAAAGTTGCTTCTACCCAAGCCCAAGGTAGCGTTGGTTAAACTGCCCGTGATGCAGTTCTCTCCGGTGCCCGTCTTTGTGCCTGCAGCAGACCCCTCGGCCCAGCCGGTGGTGGTGGGCGTGGACCACCAGGCAGCCACCGGAGCTGTGCACCTGCTTCCCCTGTCCATAGGAACCCTGGTTCTCGGGCTCGACTCTGAGGCGTGCTCCCTGAAGGAGAGCCTGCCTTTTCCCAAAATCGTCAGTCCTGTTGCTGTTGAGCCAGTCAGCACAGGTGTTTAAGTGAACTTGGGCAAAAGTTCGTCTCCTCCTTTACAAGAACTCGGGAATACATGTCAAAAGAATAGCATTGCCTCCATCAACGTCCAGACAGACCTGTCCTACACCTCCCAGAACTTCCTGCCTTCTGCACAGTGGGTCCCGCCCGATTCCTCCGTGTCGTCTTGCTCCCAGACAGATCTGACATTCGGTTCTCAAGTGTCCCTGCCCGTTAGCGTCCACACGCAGACGCTGCTGCCCAGTTCCAAGGTCACATCATCTATAGCTGCGCAGACTGATGCCTTCCTTGATGCCTGTTTCCAGTCTGCCGGCATCTCCAGAGAGACCCAGACCAGTGGACTAGCAGCCTCTGCAGACACCCGCGTCCAGATGGACCAAGCTGTCATGTGCGGAGACCTTTTTGAGAGTGTCCATCCATCATACAGTGTTTCCACAGACAGCATGATGAGTGACAGTTTAGTAGCAGACACTGTAACTCATGGTTTGTTACCTCAGAGCCACCCAAAGACCCTGCATCCCGAGATGGACAAGTCCGCACCAGTTCTGAACTTCAGTGCCCAGAACATGACTGATAATCAGACCCAAACCATGGATCTCCTTAGTGACCTGGAAACCATCCTGTCGAGTAACCTGCCTGCTCAGACCCTGGACAACCGGAGCCTCCTGTCTGATGCCAATCCTGGGCCCGACACGCAGCTCCCACCTGGCCCGCCCCAGAATCCAGGAATCGATTTTGATATTGAAGAGTTTTTTTCTGCCTCAAACATCCAAACGCAGACGGAAGAGAGTGAATTGAGCAGCATGAACCCCGAGCCAGTGTTAGAGTCACTGGATATTGAGACCCAAACTGACTTTTTACTTGCAGATCCCTCCTCTCAGGCCTATGGTTGTAGGGAAAATTCAAACTTCTTAGGCCTTGAAATGTTTGATACACAAACGCAGACAGACTTGAACTTTTTTTTGGAGAGTAACTCTCACCTGCCTCTGGGGAGCATTCTGAAGCACTCCAGCTTCTCCATGAGCACCGATTCCTCCGACACAGAGACCCAAACCGAAGGCGTCTCCACTCTGAAGGGCTCGCCTGACCTGGAGAGCAAAGTGCAGCTCAACAGCACAGAAACTCAGACCATGACCTCGGCCTTCGAGACCCTGGGAAGCTTGTTCTTCACGAGCAACGAAACCCAGACGGCGATGGACGACTTCCTGCTGGCGGACTTGGCCTGGAACACCATGGAGGCCCAGCTCAGCTCCGTGGAGACCCAGACGTGTGCGGAACTGCACACTGTCACCAACTTCTGAGAGCAGGGTCCCCCCACGGGGCAGCACGTGAACAGGACGGTGGTTCTCGCTGTCGGAGGCGGTCAGTTCTGCAGTGGCTTAGTTTCTCTATGGTATTTCTGCCTTTTTTACTTGTAACCATGAGTTTGTGTATAAATGTGAGTGTATTATAAA